AATTGAAGCCGATTTGTCAAGGAAGTATGATTTTGTTTGGTTTTTATTTGCTTCTTTTTACTGAGGACGGTGTACACACACATCAGCTTTACCTTAAAGAGGCTGATTAGGCCTCTGAACAGGAGTGTGTTTGATTGATTGACATCCCTGTCCTGTACGCATGGTCACATGTGGAGACTGACAGGCAGGTGAATGGATAAGACTAGCGTTTCTAGTGAATTTGTTAAATTAATCTGCAACGGGGGTCATAGCTTGGGTAAAAGAATGCATTATCTTGAAAATCGCTTCTCTTTTTTCACCTTTTGGTCTCTTGGGGTCACTGAGCATTACTGAGGTCAGAGGTCACTCCCACGTGTAGTGTAGTATTGACTTCAAATTCCTTATCATTAGAAAGTTGATTTTACACTTTGTATTCCTGTTGCTCACAGTGTTCGTATTGTTTATTCAAGAATCACAAAGATCAGAAGCAACCCACAAGCACCCTAAATATTTTTCACTTGAAAGGAAGACAATAAATATTTCATTATTCATGGTCAGTTGAATTCTTTTAAGTGCCACGTCCTTTGTGGAGAGCGCCTCTCTGTGTTTGAATTGCCATGTGTGCCTCTCCAGAGAATGCACCAGACTTCAGTGCGGGCCCCAGCGCCTGGGAATCATAAAGCTGCGAGGGGTGGGGTGGGGGGGGGGGGGGCGGTCTTCAAGTCTGCCCACCGAGGTCATACGAGTTGAGCAGCCACCACTGGATAAATGGCAGCCAGAGCTCCTGGGCGTGATGCATGACTGCGCATTTGCAACAGCTGGAATCCAGTGACAGCGCACGGCACAATGGAGCGAACAGATAACACACATCAATGATGCATAAGATCTCAGTTCAAACATTTCATTCTCACCTAGAAGTGCTTTAGATCTGCAGCTCTTTGACCCTTAAATAGTTAACTCCAGGTTCGACAAAACTTGTGAAATAAAAACTTTGTTGCGTTCTTGTGTTTTACAGATTGGTTCCCATACTACCTTTCTGTAAAATGGCGCATGTCCATATTACTCAGCCAATCTGTCCCAACACCTCCCGGGATGTGAAAGTTGCATTTTGCTGGAAGTGGAATTCAAACCAAGCCGCAGCCCTTAAACGTCTGTCTGGGCTGCTTCAAGTCATCCTCATGAGCAGCAAAGTGGACAGTGAACCTTTTATTTCATTTGTACGTTTCTGATAGAGTACATCAACCAAATTGAAACCGTCCTCAGCCTTCACCCTGTGCCTCCTGAGATTCGATCACCTTTGGTTATGGATGTGAGACCGGGCTGCAATAAGATTATTATGCCTACTTTTATGTCAGTTTGACTGTTTTTCAAAGTTTAAAACCATGAGAAAGTCATTTAAAATGAAATAAGAATGTGTGCAGTTCGGCATTTTTCTTTATGAAGGAATTAAAACATGCATACTTTTTTTGGCCTATTTAAGATGCTTTGCAAAGACGGGAGCTTGAGTTCTGCTTGCATCTATTTGTTTCCCACGCATTTGATCACCCAGTTGGGCACAGCTCTGCTCCCTGGGTGAATCACACAGCTTAGGCTGTACCTGGTAACATTGTGGTGATAATTATCTTTACTAAGACCCATTATGAATGTGGCTGTTGATGGATCAGCCGAAACTATTATTTATTTATAGAATCATTTGAGCATTATCTCAAACCTCAGTTTCCAAAGAACTGACCTTTTGGTTTATAAGGCGCTGGCAGCTGTTTCTCTGCTTTCACAACTTATTCACAGTTTCACAATCAGAGGAGGAAGACACTAAAACGATTCTATGTGTAAAATGGCTTGGACTGACAAAGATAAGCAAGTGACATTTGTATATCTATCGGCCATCTTTATTTGTATCCCCACATCGGTTGTCGGCATAAAAAGGATTTTAACTCTATTACTGTAGCAATGGCTAAGTGGTCATTAAGTACTTTTATAAGCTTGTGAAATATGAACAAAACTGTCTCATGGTGAGAAGAAATTATCCCTCTGGTGAGCTTTCAATGTGATCACAATGTTTTCTCACTTTGGTCTCTCACAAACAAGTGATCCAGTATTAAATGCTTTAGTCGTGTATCATTGAATGTATAGGCAGGCAAACGTTAGATAATCCCTAAATAAACTCACTGAAACATAAATCATGTCAAACACGCTATAAACAAGTTGCTTTGAACCTCTCAGTGCTAACAGCTCAGCCGTTGATAGTATGAATTCCTGTGATGAAAGCCTGCGTGTGTAGACATGTGCAGCGGGCTGATAAGAGAATAGAGCACAAAACACATCTGATGTGACTTTTAAAGACGGCACAGAAGCAAAGCACCACTCTGTTAATTCATCAGCATTAACTAATGTATTAGTTATGATTTAGTTAACAAGCTTCTAAAAACAGCAGAAATGGAATTTATAGAAAATACATTTACTGTATAGTAATGATTTCCATCATTTGGCAAACCAAAGTCTCTTTAAAAGAAATGTAATTGCTTATGGGATGTTCACCTGCATACTGTAAAAACAAACATTCTGTATTTAAAAAAAAATGCATGTGCGGTAATGACAAACAGCCAGTTTTGTGGTGATTAAAGTTGTGTTTTTCTCACATTACCCACTTTAATTTAACCGTTGTTTCATATTGGGGTTGCAACCGATGATTGCTTATTCGATTATCCGGTTTAAAATGTCCACATATTATTTGAGATTCTTTTTGAGTCGATTGATTACTCAACTAATCGATGACGACTCATCATCGCCGCACTACTCATCATGAAGTTAAGATTTTCTGCTTTAAAAGTCATTTTTGTTACTTAACTGTTACTGAAGCACTGGTAGGGATAAAGTACAGTACACGCCATTATAGGAATCCAGCAAAAGGAGTTTATACCCAAATAAAATGTAACACCAGCTTCACTGGAACTCACTGCATGTTATACAATGCATGTGTTAATTGAGAACACTTTTTTTGTCAGTGACCGATTTGAAAAACACTTGAGTCTTGCTTAATGTAACTTAGAAAATCTGCATTCTGCAAACCACACAGTACATTTCAAATGATGGATGCTGGTGTCGCATGCACACACACACACATGTGGGCATGTTGGCATCATGTGGGAGCAGAGGGAAACAGGAGCAAGTGGAGGAAATCCCCGTGATAATTTAACACTTAAAGCTGCTTCCCTGACCCCCAAAAAGATGGCACAGCTGCCTGCAGCATGAAGAATGGGATTGCTGACAGACTGCTGACTTCACCACCACATCCAGTTGCCATTGAAAAAATACTTGTGATGACAGTGAGTGGATCATCTCGACACTATATATACTGTAGTTCCTGACTAGCTAGAGTCATTTCATAAATAATAAATGTAACCCCTGCAGAGCATCTGTGGAATAATGCTCACAGTTCCCATGAAGCTAAATGAATATCCCAGTGAATGAGTGTAGTTTTTCGAATTCAGACGTGCAATTACATATTTTTTCGGTGGTCAAATCATTGTGGATTTGTACTTTTTCTTTTTCTTCGTATCCTTACTTTTCCCGATCTGTTATTATATGTCTGTGTGTGTTCGTGTGTGTGTTCTTGTGTGCATTTTTCTGCCCTGGAGGTTGCAGCCTTGGCTCTGCTGCGCTCCACTGAGTCTGCCAGGAGATCTCATGGACGCCTCAGTGGAGCGGACTCTTAAAAACACTGTTTACCCAAGGAGATTTATTTAAAGTTACAGAGCGGCACAAAGTCTGTGTGTGCTTGTGTGTTACTCATGGCATTTACACATGCAAGTCTGCTTCAGATGCGATAAAAACAAGATGTGCAAGTGTTGGATTGCCGATAGTGTTACCCAAAGGCATATATGATATTTAATTGAATTGGACTATTTCTGCACACTTCATCCTTTGTGTTTTAGTCAAACTGCTGCGCTACGTGTTCGCAAGTTCTCATTATCTCCAAAGTTTTCCCAAATGACAAAGAAAAGGTTGTTTGCTCGTTTTTTTATTGCACTCTGACTCACATGTGTGTCATCTGGATTCAATATGCTCCCAAAACTCTGAGGAGCATTTAGCAGACAGTACTCGTCTTCAAAAAAAAAGAAAAAAAGAGGGATGAATTGTTCTTTAAAATACATGAGGTCCAAATTCCTCAACACGACGGTCTTGATGTTCGCACATTTTTCTGTCGGTATTCAGATTTTGAAAGATATTAATGTTTTTGGTGAACCTCTGACCTTTTTGTTTTGCCATCAGACCAACATTTCCACTCAGGAAATCCCTTATTCTGAGTCAGATTGCCATAAAATGAACGGATGAATCCTTCCTTCTTGTTCCACCATCAGTCCAGAATATAAGATTAACAACACAAGATATATCAATTTGGGCAAACGGTCATTACATGTGTTTCTCCTCCCAAGAGCACAGTTACATTTCAATGCAATGTTAAATGGTGTATATATTGTTAGCCCGACTAGTGACATGGCTTTAGACATTTCAAAATGAACAGTATCCTACTTGTTGCATTCAGCCTGTTCTAGATACTAGCAGTGTCATTTTAGGGTCAACTCTTTTTTTTTAGGGTGTTTTTTTAAATACGTCTTCCAGAATCTGGCGTTTGCAGTAGGTTATTAACTTGCAAAAATAAAAGTTATTGATTTATGTTGATTGCAACCATGTGTTGTTGGCGACATTACATTTGGCTGCGGAGTTTGCCTCAGAAATTCTGCTTTTCCCAACAATAAGTAGAAATGTTGAAATATATCTTTTAAGGAAGCACACACTCAAGAGTTCCTAGGAAAACACTGTCAAGTTAAAATAACTGTGATATGAAATATTCCTTCTGTTCAGTCGTGGAAACATATACAGATAACAGCTTTTTAAAACAGGAAGTGCTGGTGTATGAGTGTGTTGTTTATACAGTAGTTTGCCTATCATCTGCCTCTTTATTGATTTCCCTGTATGTTTTTGGTTAAATCTGACTGCCTGCTGTTATTTCTCCGTAGAACATCAAGATCCCAGCTCCCACTTCAGAGTCTCCTTCTGCTCTTCGCGTCTTCTCCTTCTACTTATCCAGCGACAGCAAAGACCAACCTCAAGCCAGCTTTGACTGCATCCATCAATATGTCACAAGGTACAGAGTCCAAGCACAAATTGAGTCCTATTTTTAATTGATTTCTTCAGAAAATGTCACCATACACTGAACCTTTTCCCCCCATATACACTCCAGGGAGAAATGTTTCTACCACATAAGCAAAGCAAAATACTCTCTTGCAAAAAGAACCAACTGAAGATTATATATCTGTGTTATTTGTTATATCCGATCTACTGGTTGTGGCCTATATGTGACCCCCAGAAGATACTGGTGATCTTCTTCTTAAGCCGTGAGTCTTTCAGCTCTGTGTGTGCCCACGTCTCTGCGGATATCGTGAGAGACTGTCTGCTGCACACAGGATGGGGCAATTGTAATTTCCTGTATATTTCTGGGCTGACCCTCTCATTACTGAGACCTGTGATGCCTTGTTTATGGAGTGGATATGCTGGGAAACCGAGGGCTAACTGTGGTCTGAACTCCAAACTCGTTCTGGCTCCAGTCAGCTGCTGGAGCCAAGACAAACAGCGTAACAGCGTGAGGGCAGGATCCTCCTCTCTGCCCTCACATGTGTTTGGATATTTAGCAGAGAAACTGGAGAAATGATCAGAACTCTCTCATATAATTGGGTTGAGAAAATAAAAATAGGAGAAAAAGCTTTTAAATATGAATTTGACATCCCAGTAAATCCTTGATTTATTTACAGCAATAATGCAGCCCAGCTTCATGTGTTCAACTTTTTTTACTTTTGTCCAAGTGTACTGGCAGTATTCAAGCTCATCCTGGCGCCTTTCCTCTGCTTCTGTCCTGCTTTGAACCAGAAGATCTGGCTTTCTCACATGTAGCACTCTGCAGAGCTATATCTAGCATGTGACATAACATACAGTAACCATAGCCCTGTCTTAGCCACACTATACCACAAAGCCACGTTATTCCTCCTTGTTGGTATGCTGCTCTAAGATGGCTTATAGGCCTATGTTTTTACCCTGTTTACTGTACAACCAGTGGAAAAAAAAACCTGCGGTTCAATGGCTCCGTGTTTTTGTTTTGCAGTGACGGCCGAGAGCAGCTGGAAGGTCAAGGCATCATCCAGGACAAGATCACAGTGTGCGCCACGGACGACTCCTACCAGATGACCCGTGAGAGGATGTCTCAGGTGGAGAAGGACAGCTGGAGCCGCGCCGCCATCGAGATCAAACCCGGAGCCACACATCCAAGTAAGAATAGAGCAGAGGTCACTGTGGAGCATAAACAGAGGATCACAGGATGACACATCTGCAGAGCTTCATGTGGAAAAGGCCACACAGCTTGGAGAGGGACCCAGCAAATTGAATGTGGAACCAGTGATGGCATATAAAAACAAAATATAAATATAACAGCACCAATAAAAGTAATAGGAGTAATTGCCTCACATGAGAAAAACATTGCTGTATTTATTGCTTTAAACTCGAAACCAGATATATTCCTATTTTGATGTGAAATCAAATCAGACATCTAGGCTGCGTTTTAGGTTATACAAATTAGACTGAAAGCCTAGTCTTCTCTTACGTATTTTTTATTTTTAACCACTTTTTTTGGTTGTCAGTTTGTGAAAAGCTTGGTCACATGCTACTAGAAGCACTTCACCTCTATTACTTTTCAGGTATATAGAAAAAAAAGATGCCAACTACTTACTAACAACAAGAAAACACAACGTTTTAACAAAGTGCTGCAACTCTGAGAACCTGTGAACATAACACTGTTTGAACTAGCAGAGACTCCCAGCACTGGGATTTTGTGCCAGCTTAATTAAGTAAAGGTCAGAAGGAAAAAGAAACACATTGATTTTTTTGTGTCTGCCATTTTGAATTTGTTCTAATAAACAAATGATCAAAACGTATACAGATCCTGTACTTCAGGGTAGCTCTCCTAATTCCTTCTCACTCTCACAATGAGGTTGACTTGACGGGGCTAGCATGCTTATTTCAGTAGCTCTGTAACACGATACACAAACGTCTTAGACAGAACTGCAAACCACTTCTTCAAATTCTGTTGCTAATTTTTTATAAGGCCACAATTGTACACATTGCACCTTTGGTTCTATTTAGTATTGTCTCTTACATCTGTCTTTCAAAGCATTGTTGGCCGAATAAAAACACTTTTGGTTTTGGGTCTGAGTCAGCAGCATCTGTCTTTTAACCATCACTTCAGAAGTAGATGGCCAATTCAAATATTCAAATCCAGGTTCATCCAGTTTAAACTGTTGCAACATGTAGTTCTTTGTAGAGGTGATGGGGGTTGTTTCTAAAAGTTGGCTTACAAAGATGAAATATTAGTTCTTTAACTACCTTATTTTCTTGAAAAACACATTGTGGTGCCAAAAGCTTGACATCTTTAATTGTTATTGGCAAACATATTACAAGCTTTGATGAGTACATTTGTGTTTATGGGATTTCTTAGATCTTAATCATATGTACCTAACAAAATGTTATTATTAGAACAGGCATGAACCAGCAAGCCACTTTCTTTTCTCTTTTCTCTTTTTTGTCTTCTCCAACCTTTGCCGTCGTTATGCAATATTGCTCCTTGTGTCAGTGCTGGAGCTCCTGGGAAGAGGACACTCAGGGAGGTTCAGACCTAATTTAAACTGTGAGGATTTTGTAACATAAAATCTTAAGGAGAGGATGACTTGGCAACATATATGCCCGAAGGGAAACATGGAAGTAATGCACTCTAAATCTCCTTTTAGCCTCAGGCGGAGCTCAAGAGTGCACATTATCAGGAATGCCAAAACCTATGGAGCTCTACAACCCACTCTATAATTATTACACAATTCTATGTATTTCTATCAAGATGAATGGCTGGCAGCAGAGTAATGATCATGCATAGAGTTATAATCACATGGCAGGACATCATTTTGTGGTTGAAAGGAAAGCCTTCTTTTCCTGTACCTCTGCCCCACTCTGACCTTCAAAGCGCAGATTAACCTGTAATGGGATTAGCACAGAGAGATAGCTTTCACTGCCGTCTGTCTGCAGCAGAGATGTAAGCAATGATCGATGGGGTGCTTACAACTGGAGACAGATAGCTGCAGGCCAACATGCACATGTGAGCTAGAGATAAAGGTTAGAAGATAGTATTTGAATGAATGTTAGCCCATTAGTCAACAGAAGTACACATTGAGCTGGTGTAAGATAGGTCTTCCCCTCCTTATTCGATTAGTCGTGTTATTTGTTTGAGTCTTGGTCGATTATGATCTATTTAGCCAATGTATGCTTTTTTCATGCTGAAGGAATATTTAAATGTTTATAAGCTCATATAAGCTTTTAATCAGCAAAAATGAATTCTCAAATCGAGTACAGTCCTAGTTTACGCTGTGGTTGGAGTCTTTAAATGTGGGTGCCTTTTAACTCTCTGTCAGCTTTTGTTTGACCTACTACATTGATGACATGTGAAAGGCTTTATTTTTTAAAGCTTGCATGACACAGTTCAATAAGGACCTTTGGTAGATTCTCCCTGCTCTCAGCTTACAAATCAGTTCCAATGACCTTTGGTTAAAGTCTCCCTAAATGTTTGGAAATTCCTAGGATTATATGACTTAAAATGCAAATAATTGTTCTGGGTGTAAAATGCATAGCAACAAGTTTTTTGTTCTTACATTGTGTAGAGTTTGTTGGCAGTGCGACACAAATACAACTTCAGAAATACACTGTTTAACTGAGTATCACTCAGTCAACCCTAAATCATATTCTCTCTCTGTCTACTTTTTGTGTGTTTAGGTAAATGTGTGAAGTTCCAGAAGCGGCCTCTGTCTACATCAGACAGCAGTTTATTCAAGAACTCCACCAACAACCGGAGGATCGGCGGTACGACCACGCCGACCCAGAAGCCCTTGAGGGAGCGCATCATCCACCTCCTGGCTCTGAAACCGTACAGAAAACCGGAGCTGCTGCTGTGGCTGGAGAGAGAAAAAGCCGACCCCAAGGACAAGGCCGAGCTGGGGGCCATACTGGACGAGGTAAACAGACAAATAATGTGTATGTATGCATCGATGTCTGAGTATGAACATACATGTACAAACACTTACATGCATGCTTAATTGGTTTGCACACAGTGGCTCATACACATCTAAAAAGAACATTGAGGACACTTTTGGCTTGTGTTTGCACCTGGGCACATCAAACCTATATTACATTACATGTCATTTATTAGAAGCTTTTATCCAAAGCGAATTACACACATTCAGTACTGTGGACAATCCCCACAGGAGCAATTTGGGGTTAAGTGTCTTGCCCAGGGACACAACGACATGCTGACTGCAGTGGGACTCAAACTTGCTATCCCCTGATTCGAAGTCCAGCACACTATCCACTGAGCCACAGCCTCCCTATATATACACACACTGCCTTTGTGTATGACCTATAAAAACACAACCGTATTGCAGACAAAAATTCTTGTAAAATGCATTTCAACTCGCCCTTTTAAATCGAAACAAACCACAAAAATGCTGCATTTAAGCTGAATTTCGTATACTGATTTAGAAGTTTATGCAACCCAAGAAAATACAAAAATGTAGATTTTTTTTCCAGCTAGCAAACATATAATCTATACTGGAAAGAACAGTGGCCAGCTGTGCTTTAATTGAACGTGTGATCTAATTTAGAAACGTTTACCTTATGGGACTTTCCTGTATACATTTTTGAGTAATTCCTAAATTTTTGTGTTTGTACTGCCAGCCCTTGTGTGTGTTTGAGTGTGCATGTCTGGGTATTTACTGCCCTTGCGCTTGTTGAGGTTTGTGCATGCATGTGGTTTTTGTGTGCGTGGATGTGTGTAATTAGGTCGATGCTGTAATTGTCTCTCTGCTGAGATTGTGTTTGCAGAGGGGCGGGTTGCTCTGTCAGGAGGCCCCAGAAAGATAGATGTCCTCTGAGAAAGTCAGTCTGAGGAGATTAGAGGGGAGGTTAAAGCCGGAGACTCTCAGTTGGGAGCAGAATCTCATATAAAGAGTTTCTGCTTTTCAGGAATGGGGATGTGCCACTTTCAGCACATCCAGGACAGCAGTTGCCATGCTGCTATATCTCACAAAGGAATCACATTGTGTAGATTTTAAAAGAGACATTACTATATTTAATATAAGAAAGCTTTGGTTGTCAACTCTCTTTTATTTCAGTTAATCATGTTGTTGCATTAGGGCAGGGGTGTCAAACTCAATTTCATCGCGCGCCACATTCGTATAAAGGTTGCACTCAAAGGGCCGGTTTTAACTATACAGGACTGTCTCAGAAAATTAGAATAATATGATATATAAAAATAATGTATTATATTACATTATTGCCTCTGAATTGGATTATTATCAGATAGGGTAATAACTTAGTAATTAACTACGTCTGAAAACAGAAGTCCAGGGCAAATAATTGTAAGTCTCTTCAGTGCGCATGTCACAAAACAAGATGCATTGTGGGACATTTATGGGCAACCTGCTTCTGTAAAGTGACATGTAACCGTATAATAAACGTATTATATTCTTTGCAAGCTCTTGCAGGGCCACATAAAATGAAGTCGCGGGCCGAATTTGGCCCCCGGGCCTTGAGTTTGAGACCCCTGCATTTGGGGCAATTTGACGTGCAGCAAATAATTACAAATCTTTAAAGAGATGTATATTTGTAAGGTTTAGATAAATGAATGTGCTATGTTCCTAAGTGCATAGGAAATATGTAGTATTTAAGTGTGATTATTGCATTTTAGTTTGATGAATGGTTTGATAACATTTACAATATTTCCTTTTAAAAGGTATAGTGTATTTTTATCTGTGAATCACTATATTTTAGATCATTTATCATAAATCTGAGGGCAAATCTTTTGTCTCCCCCCTCTGGCGGAGACGGTAATAACCATATGAGAGAGATGATATCGATGGAAACGAAGCTACTGTCCATACATATAATTGAAAAGGAAAAAAAAGTAAGGGAAGACTTTAAGAGAGTGCTTCTGGAGGAGGGGGAGATGCTTACATGGTCCAGCTGGGAACATTTGCCACTGACACTACAGAGAGCTCCTCTAGCAGCCACTGGCTAAATCTTATTGTGTGAACCTGGCAAGGTCTTGAACAACAATCAAACGTCTCCGAATAAAACAGGTTTAAAATATACAAGACAGAGAAATGCCTTAATATGATTTTTTTTAAAGAAGCATCATGGGGTATATTGTATTTTCAGGTGGCCAGAGTGAACCCCAAGGACAGCAGCTACCTGCTGAGGGAGGACTTCTACAAACATGTGCAGAGGGCCTGGCCGGGATACAGCGAGGAGGAGAGGCCGCTGATCAGCAGGCTGCTGGCCAGGTGGGTCACAGGCACAGGCTGAACCAAACGGACATTGCATTACTATTCATTATTAATACAATAAACCAATAATTAAATAGACTTCACATTGCAGAGCCTATTACTCTATAATTTGGGGATGCCTTCAAGTAGCTCTTCACTTTTTCAGTATGTCAAGGGGGTTATATCTGTCAAAGAAATAGTAATTGGAAATACAACCCATCTTCTTCACCGCTCTAGGCAGGCAGCAGCAGCACCACTATTCTGTCCTCTTTTCCTCTTTCCTCCATTCCTCTCAGTCTCGCACATTGCTATACAAGTGCTAATTAACAATCGCACACCAAACTTACATTGTCACGCTGCACATTTTAAGTTTCCAGTTTGAGTTCATCTTTTTAAATGCCACATTAGTAACCCTCTCTTTCTTTCGTTTAACAGGAAGTTGCAGCCACACATCAGCCAGCCATCGAGGAATCTTCCAGCAAATGTGTCAAAGACCTCCGAGGATACAACGCTACATCAGAGCCCAGCAAAGAGTCCTGCAGTGGTAAATGGCCAAATGGTTTTTCATTCGGCTTTAAACATGTTTGAGAGTCACTATCTGCTTTTTAACGTGGAGCTTATTCATCGTCCTTTTGTGAAATACGTTTTAAATGTAGTTGATTATTTTATATTTATAAATTGGATTTTGACTGTTGTAGTCAGTTAAAGTGAATGTCCTGAATGGTATTTTGTTTGTTGTTTCACATAAAGTTAAGTTATGGTTGTTTCTGTGGTTTTGTTAGAAAATATTAAGGTTGATTTCTCTCTTTCTCCAGAAACGTCCCGTGCCTTCTGACTCTCTGGAAAGCCTCGCTGTTAAGAAACAAAGACTTGTGGACCAGAGGTTACAACAGCAGCCCGCAGTAAACGGACTCTTAAACAACAAAGGACACGTCATTTCTGCTCCTTCCTTCAACCCCAGTTTCCACACAAAGACTGAGTTTCAACGGACGACTAACCAAACTGGAAACCAAAATGGCTTACCAGGAGGCCACAGTGGCTTTCCTCTAATGCACAAACTGTCTAGCACCTCTGACACACCGGTCTCAGAGAGCAGGGAACAGGGACCCAAAGTAAGCAGCCAGCCGCCACAGGGCGACTCCGACTGCTCTCACCAGCCGCCCGCCAACAGCCAGCACAAGAAGAAGAAATCTAAAAAGCACAAAGACAAGGAGCGGGAGAGGTTAAAAGAAAACAAGGGCAGCGAATGGTTCGAGACGAGTCCTGATCTCAAGCAGAACCCGGACAAACTTGACAGTAAGACCATCTTTTAAGCAGAACTTTCCTGTCACTGATATTTCTATTACACGGTTTGATCCCATCCTGAGACCAACACATCGTTTTCAATACTTGATGATACTCTTATTTCTTCTGTTTTGAATTCCATAATGGAGTCCGAACTCTAGGAATTTGGGAGATGTCACCTTAATGCTCTTATTAGGTTTGAATAATACATCCATTTTATTATATTATTCAGTAGAGCTATACAGTAGAACCTACATACACCTGCGTAGTTTCTGTCTAAGCCCAACCAGACCCTGTATCTGTAATTGTGGACCCAAGACTGATTTAAAAACCTGCATTTCCAATGCAAAATTCATTCAATAATGTAATTTAAATAATATATTATTCACATTTATCACAACTTAAGGCAAACTAGAGTACCTTTTATTGTAGTAATATACATTTTTGACAGGATGGTCAGAACAGCCCCAAAAGGTCACAGACTGAATAAGTGCCTGAATTCAATTTAATAAAATAAACTATAAAAAAACGGGAAGTTGGCTAAACTCGATCTGATTCAAGCCTGATGGAGCTTTGTGATAATAAAGTCTGACCAGGCTCGAATCCGGCAGGTCGGAGGAAGGTTTGAGTAGACATTCAAAACTCAGAAAGGGGGTGACCCCACCTCCAAACAGTGTTTCCTCCTCTATAAGACATCAGGGTAACCACAGGGACTTTGAGCTGATGACCAGTGGTTCAGTTCCTGAGGTCCACTCAGCGACCGTTTGTCTGACAGCCCTCTGGTGCATTTATAGAGAATGATCTCATAAGCATGACAGTGTTTGCTCTGCTAAGCTGGTTCTCTTGAGTCCTCGGTGTGCGGCTGATTGACTCAACAACAGCCCGAGCTGCGCTTTGCGTCTCTAAGCTGATATGTCTCCTGACACCCACCAGCCTCTCTGCACATACAGAGACACACACACTCATGCTGTGTCTTGCAAAACAAAAACACATTGCCTAACATTCAGCCGAAGACAAAGCGTCATGTAATTGATGCCTGTATTGACTCAACTGAAGCTCATTTATTTTCTTTATCCTCTGCATTTATTCCAGATCCTGACATCACAAATGCTGTGGCCTCTGAGGAGAAACCAGATTACGTGCTGTGAGTGTAAACATCTTTTATGATGTAGCATAGTTTTATTTTTAACACATTTAGGACACTGGCTGTTAAAATATGTGGTAAAAACAAACAGTGGGTGTTAACATCCATTCTATTTTTAACAGTATTCTTGCTATTTTTTCACCATCTGCAAGAGGAATTATTTACAGCTCCCACAACTTCAAATAATTGGTCTTGTTACACAACATATAACACAGACTTGACTTGTTTGTTGTGAATGTATTGGTCTTATATATAACTGACACATTCAACAAAGAATTGTCTCAATGGAGATGAATGGATAGAATACACCTGTATGTTTATCATTACCAGTATCACAATGCTGTCATCTTGTGTCAGAAATATGTACTACACAAAATAAGTTTTGAATTGCAACATGTATAAATGCAATTGTCTGTGTCTTTTTGCAGTTCTTACGGCCCCATAATGACTTTGGAGCAGCGTGAGCGGTACCAGGAGGACTTCTGTGCAGAGTACGATGAATACAAAGACCTCCACTCGCGGATCGCCACCATTACTCACATGTTTGTTCAGCTAGGATCCAAGATCAAAAGCTTGCCCCCTGGCACGCGAGAATATAAGGTACATACATTTAACCTGAAGCATGCAAAAAATGCACAAATATTTTATTATGCAGCTAAATAATATTAAACTATATAATCATTTTCTTCCTTTGTATATTTTAGATAATGGAAGGCCAAATACTAGGAAAGTACTCCAAGTATCGAAAGGTGAGTTGAACATTCAAGTGGTTTAAGCTATGGTGTTGTTTTTGTTTCATCTCCCTAATTTTGTCAACATTGTTACTAAATGTCCTGTTCTTAGCTTCAATTAATTTCACCTCTTTATCATCAGTCAAAATATTCCTCAATCTCAGATTTCACTCGATTTAAGGGAAACTGTTTATTTTCTGAGAACAAGGGAATATCAATATGTGAACTCTTTCACACTTTCTTCTCTCTCCATAGAAGTTCCCAGGCTACCGGGAAGAGAAGAAACGCTGCGAATATCTCCATGAGAAACTGTCCTACATCAAACAGCTCATCGCAGACTATGAAGTCTCTCAGGCTTCTTCATAGCATTGGATCTCTTTTTTATCATTTAGTTTCAATGTGGAACCCTGTGCTTTGCATTAACAACATAGGTTTAAAAAAAAAAAAAGCATTTCATCCGAGAGTTTTACTAAAGATTTTTGGATTGAAACTGCAGCGTCGACATCCACGGCCTCTGCTTGGATCAAGGACCATGCTGTGAGCAACGAAGATATGAATCAGTAGCAGTTCTCTCTTTGTTTTGAAAGTCTATTTGCTTTCGTTTAATGAAATCACTTAAAAGATACAAGTCCAAGGGAGAGTGAAACACTCATCAAATTGTCATGACAGACAACTTCCCTAATAGTTTTTGACCGCCTTGCTAAAACCAGTGTCAGTGTAAGCCATTCTGATGGAATTATTTAAAAGGTAGGAAATTATGAGTTTAACTTATTCACTTTGTTTTTTGACATTAAGTCAAACACTGCTCCAGGCAGATTTCCCTTTTATGAATTTAAATATTTCAATATACAGTTTGCTTTTTCAATACTATATCAAAGTTGCCTCATTGATCATTTGAATAACGATTGAATAGCCTAGTGCAAAAAATGGATGTTTGAAGTCGTTTTATCTCGGCCTTCACATCTGATTCCCAGTGCAGATTCCTTTCACGTTTCAGGCAATTATCTTAAAGCAAGACTATTTTAAATACATACTGCATTACCATCAACTTATTCAAACTTTATTTGAATTAAAAAGGATATTTGCCAGGATACAAGTGAAGAAATCTAACGCTTGGGCCAAACTTGGACCCTTTTTTATCAATTGATGTATTAAACTGAAGATATTTTTTTAAATAAGGCCAGTTTGTAGCTCATACTTTTCCCCTGAAAGGATCTGCTAAGCTTGTTTTATGACAACTTCTTAAAATACCTGCTAACATTTTTGTTTCCAATGAGAACAATAACTGGAAAATATTTAAATTGTTTGAAATGTTAAGATTGAGGTACATGCTGTCTCCCAAATGCACTTGTTTAAAGTATTTATTCACCACACCCGTTTTTTTTTAGTCACAAGTAAAGGGATCAAAATGCTTTGATGGCTGTTGCAATAATTTGGTGAGGAAGGACGATTATTTCCCCCAAATGCAATACTGACATTGTTAACCCGGGACAAAGTCTAGTTTAAAGTATTCTAACCCACTGTAGAGAAGAGTCATGACATTTTCTTCCTTCTTTTAACTACTGATGTATTTATTTTAAGCCACCTTTCTCGGTTCTGTGCTGTCTTCTGCTCAGCTTGAAGCGTAAGGTCTTTCTACTTAAAAATGGGTTTCTCAATCCAAGCAGCTGGGAAAGCTTGTGAACTGTAACATTTTGTCTCCAGCAGTTCAAATGACAAATGACAAAAGACTAAGGGCTGTTAAATGTTTCAAATGCAGTTGAAATGGGAAAAATCTGTTTTGGCAGGAGGAGATATCAATGTTTGAAGTCAACTAACTATATTTGTTTCCCTCGAGTTTGACAGTGAATTGAACAGTATAGCTGTGGGTGATTTCCTCATATTGACCCAGGGACAAATACATTGAACATACATTTGATATGGGAAAACACTAACAACATAAACCTTTCAGAAGAACTCATTACCAGCATATTTGAAAATGCTGAGCTGGGAATCATAGAAACGCTCACGAGAAAGCTGCCTGAATTGACAACGTTGAAGGATACAGTGAAGGATTTCCAAGTCCCTAGATATTTGGTATTCAAGGAAATACTGAGCCATATTGGTTAAAAGAAGAAGTGTGTATTTGCTACACAATAACCTGTTAATGTACTATTTTAAACAACTGAAGGGGCTTTTTAATCTTTTGAATTCCACTTAATAATCAGTGTCAAAAAAGGGGGCAGAGGGCTTGTTACATTTCAATTTGAATTGTAATTTTGTTTGTGGTTACAGCTTTTTACTGAAAGTTATCACTGAGTCAATGACGTAGAAGCCTTAAAATGACACTTTTATCAACAAACTGCCAATATCAACAAGGATTCATCACGTGCACACACACCTGTTTTTCTGCCTTACTGTATATTCCTCTGAGCTGTTGCATTTAAACCTGTCTTTCACTGTTCAAATGAAAGTGTCTTTCCCACACTTTTGAATCTTACTTTCTGGAGGAAATCTTTGATTATGTAACTTCAGAATTACTATGATGGCATAGCGTTCTCATCAGTTGCATTTTTTTTTTTCATCTTTAAGGTACGCTGTTTTTCATAATCAGATATGTTGGTCTGGTATTTATCATTAGGGATTCCACTTTGGTTTTTACACTCTTTCACTTTGATATTATCATCTCTTCTTAGCACAGCCATTTGGTTTGAAGACTGTCAACAGAGATTTCAGATCAAAAGAAATCCATTGTAAAAATAACAGTGATCATCAATTCCAGGTAATGGGTGGTAATTATAAGAAAGTTACAGGGGGTGCAAAGTATAATTATGTTGAGTGGTTGATTAAAGACCATGATTATCTGTGGGATATTGAATATAGACCATAATTATCATTAGGCTATATGATGGAAAAAAATCACTAGTTGTAAAAAACTGAACCATTCTTCCAAAATCACAGATGGATTTTATTTATCTGATGAAGTCTTAATCACAAGCTACAAAAAAAGTTCAGACGGTGTTTTCTTTTGTGTTTATTGTTTTGACTACATATGCTGCATACCTGCTGAAGGGAAAGCCTCATCTTATTCAGAGAAGAGTATGCATTATGAACTGCATTTTACAAATGTACACTTTCTATTTTTCTGTTGTGCAATGTTCAAAAGAATAAAAACATCAAAGATATGTCCTTGTTTCATGAGCCTTGCTCTTTGAATTTCCAATGCAGGTAATCTGCATCATTCATTGATCATCATTATTGATGTTGTCTTGACACAACATTGTTTTACTGTGCAGTCGTCTGAGTATACGATGTCTGCATTAAATGGTTTATTGGTTAAGTTTGTCATATAAAAGCCTAACAAAAATAATCAGACTAACCTGTATACAGAATTAAAATGCAATATGTGAATACTTTAGAAAGGGAGTATTTGTGCCTTATGAGAGGTTCAAGTTTTTTTTTTTTTTTTTGTCATACGAACATAGCTACAGTGTAGTTATGGCGATGAAAATCTTAGGTCACAGGCTCCTCCAACAGTGCAACACAATAAAACAGATAAACAGAAATATAGTGCAAGTAAATAGTAAATACAAAAATAGTTTAAAAAGGTCAAATAGTGCAATAAGAGTCTATATGCAGAGTGGTACGGTACCTACCCAAAATACCCTCTCCTTTGCTGTTTGACAGATACTGTTATCCACTAAATAGCCTACTAATGAGCTTATGAGTTGTCAGTGTTTTTCAATGAAACCACTGTGAATTTGAGTTTATTAACATTTACCCTTGTGGTCAACACCTGAACATAACCATTTACATGCAAAACCGTATAAATATATCAATATATTTTCTTCCTATATAGATTTAAGATTCAAAGGTTATATTGTCATAAGCACAGAAGCTACTGAAATCTTAAGTCCCAGTCTCCATTTACAATGCAACATAAATAAATATAAAACAATAAAAATAGTCTAAAAAGAAACAGGATAGAAATAAAAGAATGTTTTATAAAAAAGCCATCTGGTTATTTAAAGATCTGTTTGGTTTTTTGAGTTTGTGTTTGCAGGGACGAGGCTATAACAAAACACCAGATTATTCAATTCCTCCCTATTGATTGAATTTGAAGGGATGTAAGAGGGATGCTGTTTGACAGATATCGGAAGCCAATTTATCCGTGACGGCATCATGTCCGTAACAAATAAGACCATTATCTGAAACAATTAACACTGGACCACCATAAATATGTTATGGCACTGATTTTCAAGTAGGCTACCGGTAACCTTACTGTAGAAGGATTTGAAGACATGGCAACAGTTGTCATGACGACCGTGATACACTCCACGGCTTCTGGTGTGACAAATGAAGGTAAAACTGCAGGCTTATAAGTTATATATATTTTTGTTTAATATTTTAACTCACAGCTGAGCTAAGCAAAGAGCTACTTTATGTGTGTTGTGGTTATACTGTAGTTTTATAGCATTAGCTCTACCTTTTGTGAACGCGTTGTTTTTGTAGTTTGGCTAACAAGCTAACGTGCCTGCTTCTTAACTAGGCCCAAACAGTCCAGGAAACGTTTTGGTATTGTAATGCAAAGTATACGCCTCTTCTTGTTAACTTGTTTTAGGCCTATTTTTACCAGAGTTGGAACGTTTTTGAGAGACTTGTAACCAGTGGTGTACAGTAACTGAGTACATTTACTCAAGTACTGTACTTAAGTACAATTTTGAGATACTTACTTTACTTTGTAGGCCTACCGGGCCCACGCAGAGAAGGACAAAACCCCTCTTTCAGTTGCACCATTTCTTTTGCAGATGCTGCATCTTCTATTATTTCTTAAAGTACACCACTTCCTTTAAATATATTTAATGGTAATACTTTTGTACTTTAACAACATTTGAATGCTTGTCTTTCACTTGTAACTGAGAATTTCAACTCTGTATTAAACCTGCTTAAAAGTACAAATTATGAGTACTTTTTCCACCACTGATATTTACAATGGTTGTAACCAAGCACATTTAGTCAAGTACTTTTTATACAGTTAGTCAAGTACTTTTTATACAGTTATGTACAGTTTTGATGCACTTTACGGGTTTCTATTTGTTTACTCCTCATTGTAATGTAACTTGAAGTCTACAAAAAACTCAATTATTTGTCCAACATTAACATTTTCTGATCATAGGATGTCAACGTATTCCAGGAAAAGCAGCACCCCTGACTCAAACATGAAAGCAGCTTGCAGCACAGAAACATCCATTAAGAAAACACCTATGTTGGAAATATCCCGTGCAACTGAGGTATAGATTGGCAGTTTAAAATGAATGGATTATTATTGGGGAATGAATGAATCTCGTCACATAATTGACAAACCATCTGCACAACTCTTTCTAAACTGTGTGTTATTTGGACCAATATTCCAATGACAATGTGTCCAAAGGGCTCTACAGGCACATTAAGACCTTTCATTGTATTCTAATAACGACTCGTGTGCTTAAGAGGATGTGATAAGGTCTTCTTCATTTTCGCCTATTCCTCTGATCACTGTCTTTCACTTCCCTATAGAACATTTATTTGTTGAAACATGTAAAGCATTTTATTCTTCCTCGTATATGTCTGTTCTATCATAATTGTCTTTATCCTTTCCCTTGCTTTATCCCGCCTCTTTGGTTATCTCAGAGTGGTGCCTAAAAAAAACAGGTTATTGAATTAAACGATCAGATCAGTGTTTTTCAAAGGAATTACCTTTTCTCTGTTGTGACTTATCTGTCAGCTCCCAGAAAGCACCCTCTGCGTGGCGTGCTCTGCAGACGGCAGGTTCCTCGGCCTGGGTCACTCCCGGGGTTTCTCTGTGTGGTGTGCTTCTTCTCTGCTCTGTGCTGCAGAGTGGCTGCAGGACGGGCTGGAAATGACTTATATTCAAATCACCAGAATGGCTGAGAAAGCCTATCTGCTTGGCACAGTTGACGATATGGGTCAGTAGAATGCCTCTCTCATCCGTCTCCTGCATAAAACATGAACAGATAGTCTGGGATTGACAGATTGACATTTTTTTGTACACTGGAAATACTCTGTGTGATCCTGAAGTCATGAATTATTACTGAACTGAGACATTACTGAGACAAAAACACATGGAACTAAAGAAAATAAAGGTTACAATAAGAAAGGCCAAAGAGATTTTCAGAAAGTGTTAAATATGTTTTGTCATTCTGGCATAAGTTCCTTTCATTTTTCACTGCAGGTGTTGCCAGAGTCTTTGCATATCACTGTGAGAGCATTCACCTCCTCAGCGTTATTAACACCATGGTACGTACACAGATACTTTGACTGTCCTCCACCTTTTTTTTGTTTTGTATGTGTTGTTGATAGGGACACTTACATAATGTCAAACTGTTTGTGTGTTTATTATTAGGAGTGTAACATTTTGTTTTAAATAATTAATTCCTTTCAATATTAGGAAAATATCAACAAAAGGAGCATTTGCTTGACATTTGAACTGTCTGAAGGGGGACATTATGGAGCGGCGTCAATCAGCTGTAAATACGCCATTCCTGTAGAGCTCCTTTAATTAATTAATGATTTTAATGAAAGGCTGCTCTTTCAAGTATTTATTGCATGATTTTCCCTTCTCTATAAGGTAACAGTGATGTTTGGCTCGAGGTCTATCACTTCCCCTCAGACGCTTGGCTCAAAGAGTTGGAGATGGAACCATCACAAAATCAGGTAATATACTGAAATCTGAATGATAGGGTGGATATAACATGTTGCGTATTTGGCATCATATGAGCCATTCGACATACAACGACATTTCATTGTCAACAATCAGTTGAATCTGACATAAGTTCGAATTTATCAAGTTGTTTTTTTCAGTAAGTAGCTTTAAAATATACAGAAAGAAAACGGAGGGCAACAGTTGTATCTTCAAAATGGTAGAATATGTTCACAGATAAAGGCATATAATGGCATTAAGAACAGAAAAGTACTTGGACTCAATGCTTTCTAAAAACAGTGCTACCCTTGGAGCGTGTTGCACTCTAGAGTGGCTACCGACACAATAATACATAACGATACATGCTCCTGTGCTCTTAATAGCAATATGGCTGGGAAGGATGTTCCCACAGGGATTTCTAGTTTTAATGAGAATGTATGCCGGTTTATCTGGCACCAGATACTCCTATATGCCATTGAGTTTCAAGTACAGAGGACATTTCAAGCAGTTTGAATGTTATTTGAATCCTCAGGACCCTGACTCATCTGCAGATGTGGAAGTGAAATGGTCTCCACTTGCAGCGGTGATTAAAATCCAGCCACCCAAGACTCCTGCAGGTATAATTGTATCTAGAGGAACCATGTATTACAACTATAGTGTGGTGTGTGGAAGTGGAAGTCATGGTGTAGATGCATGGCGTTCTTTTCAGGACGTGCGATATTAAATAGGCAAATTAACTCAAAAACGTCATGTTACAATTATTTTGCTGCTTGCTACAAAAGGAAAACTTGCGCGGCTCTCATGTCAGGAGTACTTGAGTGAGTGACATGCAGGCTCTGCATTCACAGCAAAGCACCAATCACAATCAAATCTCCAAAGCAAATGGACCCGGTGATTAAAGGTAAAAACTCTGAATAAAGTGTGTTTCATGTTTTTCTCCAGGGCAGTTCGGCGCTGCTAACCGAGCTAGCTCAGCTTGTTGCTCTGATAACTTAAGATCCAGACGTCCGTGACTAAAATCCTTCATCCGGTTAAATATAGTTAGAAAAATACCAATTGTATAGCATTAAAGTTCAAGAAAGGATGGATTGTGGGCAAAAAAAACTGTCTTTTCTTCAATTCCTGTATTTCTTCATATCGCAATATATATCGCAGGGGGGGGGAAATCGCAATGTCAGTTTTTTCCAATATCGTGCAGCCCTAGTATTTGTATAGAACTTTCTCTCTTTTTAAATGACTAAAGTGAAAGTTATTTGTTTTCTTTGCTGTTACAAGCATAGACTGTAGGTGACAAGTTGCAGATAGATAATAAGCATGAACATACATTTCAAATAAGAATCAATATCCCGGCATGTTTCTGCTGTTTTGCAGGGACAGAACTGGATGGTCCACTCCAGGTGTTGCAGAAGAACGACTTTTTGACACACTGTCTGGCTCTGGACAAAGACATGGGCAGCAGTCAATGGGATGAACAGCCTTTTGATAAAGAAGCAGGAAAAATAAACGAAAGCCTAAGGTTCGATAAAGATTACACAAATTACGACCAGCATGTCACCGCGAAGAAATATCATGGCTCTGTTTGAGATGTACTTGCATGGTCTTTGATTGAAGTCTTCGCAAACATTATTCATGTCTCATACATGAAATCGTTTTTCAGACTTTGCACCCATCACTTTCTCCTGCCTTGTGGTCAGCTTCCTGGTGACAGTCATGCAAAGGATCAGCCAGGTTTGTAATGGACGTGGGAGCGTCCACTACAAACACATTTGACAATTGCAGTTGCCAGCTAATTAATCGCTGTTGATGTATCCCTCATTTTCATTCAATCAAGGCCTTATCATATCTGCAGTGGCAGACTGTGCTTCTATTAACGTTGTCTTTCATCTCTGACCTTTTCCCCGCAGCATTGCCTGTTTCTGTCTGTGTGTGGTGGAGTAGCAGCCATAATCTTTTTCATTATTTGCTACGAAAGTCACCAAAGAACAAAACGGGTAGGATATGTATCTGCTGGGTGCTCACGTTGTTAAAACATGTTGTGTGTTGTTACTAGGCATAGATTTCTGGTGTTGACTTTTCTGTTTTTGGAGCAGATGTGGAACCCATGCTAGATGTGTTGTGGCCAAACGCAAAGGAAATCCTCTGCTCTGCTGTTAGTCGATGCACACGTTTCATTGCTCTTGGGCTCGACGATGCTTTGGTGTGTGTGTGGGACAGGCAGTCTGGTGAGCAAACCTTATGGAGAAGTATGATCCTATCCAAGCCATTCAATTAGAGCATTTGTGTTTATTTGGTTTCTCCTTAAAGGTAGGTTAGGTCATTCACTTCAGACACACTTTTTGTTATATTCCATGGAATGCTCTTAACATCCCGATAGCAATGAATACATTAAATGCTCTGACAATAAATACATGAAAAAATGGAAGCCGTAGCGCTGTAAAAAGAACGACCAATCATCTGAGCCGGCCCGGCTAAAATAACTGGATGGCCTACCTGCCTGTCAGCCTTCCATCTCATACACAAACTTATCTCGTGCCCTCATTGGTCATGTGCGCGTTCGTGTGTGTTGGAGGAGGGGCTCTGTAAGGAAGTCTGAAGGAGGGGGCAGATTCGGCTTCATACTTTCAAATTCTAGCGCACTCGCTGGTTTCTCCATTCTCACCTACCCTACATTTAATGAATGTCATGTAAAGAAAACATATTTGTTCCTATAGTATCCACACATGAATCAGTGTAAGCTCCTCGTATCAGTTATCTTAGTTATTTTAGGATTTCCCCAGAAGAAACTTCACTGAAAAGCAACAGACACGTAGACACTTTTGCCTCCTTGGTTTGCAATAAAGCTATTGCTTGTTTCATTCTCATTTTCTTCTCCCCCCCCCTCAGGGTCTCCTTTGTCTGTTGTCCCAGTGTCCGCAGCAGACAGTGCTTTCTCCAGGATGCAGTTTGTGGATGTCCGGCCTGAGTCTGCTGATGATTCCCAAACTGCTGCAACAGTCTGCCTTTCAGTGTTGTGTAAAAGTGGAACGGTTCATGCAGTCACTTCAGGACGAGGGGCTCCATCCTGCACAGCGCAGCTCAATGAAAGGTATCCCATATGTTTGTTACACATTTCCATATCATGCATTTATTTTCTCTGTCAGATAAAATGCAATCAAACAAAACATTACCTCACTCATAACGTCCTCTGTCGCTACAGGCCAAAAGACAGCGGAGACATCCCAACTGTCATTGCACCAGTGCCGTTCCTGCAGAGTATGGTAGAAACACTAAAGTTACTCATACAACAGTTAAGCTCAAATGCAGAGGGAATATCTATAGCACCAAAAGTATAACAATAATTGTGATTCTCTGGATTCTCCTGTCTTTTTTGTTTTGCCTCGACCAGACGCTTGTGGTGCAAAGAAATGGAAACATGTTCCTCCAAGATGTCCTCAACAAAACCAAAGTGTGCTTCTTAAATCCTCCCAAGACTTTTCAGATTTCCACTCCCTGCAGTCCTGTTTATGCTCTGAACACTAAACTGCAGACTCTGGTCATACAAGGTAAACCAAGAGTCAAATGTTCTTTATTAAATACATGTTCATTGTTTTTGTTGTTATTTTACATTATTCACTAAGGAACACACAGGCTAGTGACAATGGCCCCAACATTTTTGAGATACCCCTCCCGGAGTTTGGACAAAACACAACTTACTTTTTCCTCATCTCTAAGGCCTCCCATACATGAAATGGATTGTTGTATAAAAATATTTTACTGCTAAAGTGGTGAAATTGATATATAAAGTTATACACCCCAAACTAAAAATAAAGCCTGGCCGTCTGGGGGTTGAGGAATATAAACTCATGTAGATTCACAATGGAAGGTCTGATAGGTTTAAAACTTGGCATACCTGAGGTCAGGACATCCCTCTGCAGAAAAGACTGAATGTCAATATCTTAATGTAGATTGGAGATACAGTCATTTGAACACATACCTACAATAGGCGGAAATGTAAATCTATGTAGAATGTTCTCTTTACTTTGTAGTGACTCTGACATGGATTGCCATAGCAACACATATGAGGGCTTGTTGGAAAGGTGTGGTTCTACTGAATCCAGCAATAATAATTGTGTTAAATTAATAATTTGGTTGAAGGGCCGCATGGTGAGGTCTGCTAAAAGTCAACAATCTGTACTTTGTTCAATTAGAACCAAGGAACCCTCCAATTCTTCTACAGACTGAGCTACTGTCCCAAATGAAATCTGAACTGCTGTTACTAAAGCCCTTCATGTCTTCCACAGGGGAGCAGGAGTCCAGCTGCAGCGCAGGGAGACAGAGCCAGCTGTTCAGCTTCACTTTTGGAGAGCATGGCATCATGGAGCAGTATATCATTTCTCATCCAGACTCTCAGAGACAAAACACACTGGAGGAAGCCTGCAATATCTACCTCCTGCAAAGGTGGCTTTCTTTGTGTCTAGCAACCATAATCTATGTGGTGTCCGATCGTTTTTGGAAAATATATTCCCACAAATCCAAACAACAGGGCACAAACTATCCATAGTGTACTGTTAAAGTAGTGTCTTATCATGTGTTCCCTATGTTTTCATGTGAAGAGCGCTGTCTGTGGATGAAAGGAGCAAAGCTATAGCCCACACATGGAAGCAGCTGCAGGACACAGCTGAGCTGGAGCAACAGAGACACAGCTGAGCTGGAGCAACAGAGACACAGCTGAGCTGGAGCAACAGAGACACAGCCGAGCGGCAGCCAGCTGAGGGGCAGCAGCACATGTTGTTTTGCTCTGAGGTACTATTGTTGATGTATTCCATTGAAGAGCTCCTTCTGAATGCACCCTGCAAGAATGTTCATTAGAGACTGTTATCTCACAGGTCCAAATGATATTTCCAATATAACCATTTTTATGCAAGAATCACCAAACATATTTGAGGCACTGACCCTTAATCAGTTTAACTGTACAAAAAGGACATTGTTTTTTTATGTTGAATTAGTTGTTATATCTGTGGTGCTGGAAGGCCTTCTCTGATATTTTACACAAAACGATGAGTGTATTTGGAGTGATTATGTCCCCTTTGGGTCCTTGAATGTCTCATAGGCCAAGTTTTATTTAATGACAGGACACAAAAAACAAAACAGGGTGCAAGAATTATTGAAGTGCATTTAGAATGTTATAGTCTGTCCCATAACAGTCACTGAAAATATGTTTGCGAGCTAAATGTTGTCTATTTGTATTGAGTACCATAGAGTAACAGCTAATTGGTATGTGAGAGGGACTCACAGAGTCAGAAGATCAAAACAAATCAGAGAGGATATTGTTCTTCTGAAACCAATCAGCAATATGCAGCTGTTGAATCATTCATGATTTTCTCTCTTTATTAGTTCAGATTGGCAGCAGATCAATCTTTTGAATCCTTGAGCTACAATGGACAGGTGGTGTTCATTTGACAGAGAGATTCTTCGGATGGCATCTCCCTTATCGTTTGCATACAAATACTTTCATTGTTGCATCGTTGGTGCTGCATCTTCAGCGCATCAGATCGGACTCTGTGAAAAGGAACTGCTGCGGAAAACAGATTTGAATATGTGCTCAAAAGCCTCATTATACATGAAATAGAATAATGTACTGAGGGTGACAGCAAAGGGCCCAAATATCATTGATAGCGTAATAAAAGTGCAGGTGCTCTATTCAAGATATCCACATTTGTACCAGGGGAAAAACAATTAGACGGTATAACAATGCAGCAAGAGCCTCTTAACGAAACAGAGGCTTAACTGTCATTGCTGTCTTTTTGCTGTTGGTTTTGTGCTTTTTGTCATTTCCTTGCGACATTGATGCTTTACCAACATTTACTGTTATGCAAAAAAATAAAAAACAAACCTGCTGTTGTCATTCCCAGCTCCCAATCCCCTCTCTTTTGCCTTCCCTACAAACGTCCAATTAACTGCAGCGATGGCCTCTTTAGGCATTTGCTCTCATTAGTACAAAAGTAAAACAAAACAGAATTGATAACAATAACAGAGAATCCCATATCAGAAAAGTATCTTCCTCTGAAGCTAAATGTCAAACTGTTGAACTTATTTTATTTCTTAAAGATGATTAAATGTTGAAACAATTAAATGAATTTGATAAAACCAGCTGTGTAGTTGCAATTACAATTTTTGATGTCTAAGGTCATGTTTTAAATATGGATTACTTTTCAGATCCTGGTGGCAAACAATTTGTATGTATGCATGAGCTCAATTTCACATTCAGGTAGAGTAAAATATGAAGTATATAGGCATCAATTTAAAGAATGCATGTTTTCTTATCACCATTTAACATTCTAATTGCTTGCGGACATAGCAGAAGGTGACCTAGAAAATCTTCCACATAAAGCCTGGAAGGTCTAAATAAACCATGTGCCCAGATTAAAAACTGTTTATCATTAAAATTTTCCTAAAACATGAAAGATGACGCAATCCCCAGTTATTCAGAGTTCACTTTTGAGTATATATTATATTTTCCTTAATAAATATTATTTTAAAGAAAATATTTAATTTAATATTTATTTATTTTTTGTACACTATCATGACATGATATGCCGATCCGTCGCTGCACCAGAACCTTCTTTCCCAACCATTCTTCGTTATTAACATAAACAACTGTATGTTTGATTCCAAAAAGCATAGCGAGGAAGATATGAAATTATCTGTTAACTCTTCCAATGTCAATTTGTCACACTCAGAGGGTATAAATGGCCTTTTCATCTGGACGCTATGACTCAGCACTGATTAGCGGTAGCATCCCCTGAGGACTCGTCGGGCTACACATCACTGCACGTGAGGACGTGTCTGAATGGCATTGCCGTGCAACGGGGATTTGCGTGCTTATAATTTAAGATGAGATTTGTTTATCTCTCCCCACACAGCTTGTCTTCATTTACCCTCTGAAAAATGCTTTCAACAGCAACAGATTCAAACACTTCAAATCTTAGTGAATACATTTAATTCAAAAATAACCACAAGTTACAATGAACAGAGCAATAGACATTCTTTGTAACGAAGCTTGTGATGTCAGTCTGTTGTGATTGAAGCTTACCTTCTGCAAGAAAATCTAACTGTGCTTTCCGACCAATTGCAGTCGTGAATTTTGTGATTTATACAGAAGTAGGCTATTTGACAATTGGTAAAGTAAATCAAAATGCCACATCGAGAAATACAGGAACCCCACACATCAGACGATCAAACACAAAATACATTTAAATAAATAGAAGTGTTATGAAATTGTCAGAGAGCCTCACACGGTATATATGATGCTCTCGGGGCTGGACTGGTTTGGATCTCGCTCTGTGTCGTTGTCTGGGGTTAATAAGCTGATGGTTGTATCTGCTTTAGTTTGGTCGTCATCACACAGCATGAACCTCTCCTGGCTCACGGGGCTCCCGTCTCTCTTCAGCGGCGGAGACTTGGCGGCGCATTTGAAAGATAGGACTGTGGGGTTCTCCTGATTGGAGGCTGCGCTGGCTTTGCAGTAAAACCTCCGCAGCCCCTTTCGGAAGTGAATGGTGAACAGGCCGTAGATGAGAGGATCCAGGCAGGCGTTGAAGAGCCCGAAGATGAAAAGGATGTGGGTCAGGGAGTGGGAGACCTTCCCCTCCAGGTCGTTGGGGAAGAACCAGTACCACAGGCCCAGCAGGTAGTATGGAGTCCAGCAGATAATGAAAGACGAGACGATCACTATACTTAACTTTAGAGTCCTCATCCGCGCTCTGGGGATGTTATTCTTTGAACACCGCAAGCGCACTTCATTGGAGGGAACTGAGAGAAGAACACGAAAAACATTATTTCACATTAGTCACTCAGGAGCAAAGTGGTGAACCGAAGGACTGTCATTAAGAGCATGGAACATCCTTCTTGAATACTAAAAATACATAATTTGTACTCATCTTGGTGAGAATTTCCTCAATAACTTTATTGAATGAAAGCTGTAACCAGTGCCACGTCCTTCGTGTGAAAGAGTTATCCTGATTAGACTGATGACTATTTGTCGATGGGTCTGGATTTTTTTGTCCTTCTTAAACTGGTTTTAGATTCATCTGGACAATTGTCTATAAACCCCACACATATTATTTTCAAATACATGTGACTTGCTTTTTTTGAGTCATTAAGAAAGGCTGTCTATATGGAGAGGATTTTAGATGAGGACATGGAGGTTAATTAAACACGATCTGCAATAATCACAATTACATTTTCATTATAAAATTAACCTAAACAATATAAAACCAAATAGTTTGAAAACGAAATGTTCCTTAACTCTTCCTTAATTTGGTCATCATTTCTAAATAAGAGCACACTGTTATCCAAGGTAACTTCATCAAGGATGCAACCAAGTGGGTGAGAGTAAACAGGATTAGCTCAGCCTGGAATCATCCTGTTAGCCTGGATTAGTTAAGATACATTTGAAGAACAGGGCCCAGGACAGAGAAGAGATAATAAATAAATCACCCAACCAACAACCCAGCTTCTATTACTGAAAGGGTCAAACAAACGGCAGCAACAGATATGTTATTAAAAAGCTAATCCCTGAAGTAAACAGATCCACAGAGCCTCTATTTGACCTCACCGTTGTCCCTTTTCAGTCTTTTGGAGATCTCACAGAAGATCCTGGTGTAGCATGTGATCATGATGACCAGAGGCAGCAGGAACAGGCAGGAGAAGGTGAACATGTTGTAGGCCGTTTCATGCCAGTGAGTGCCGAAACTCCCACGTGTGGTGCACTGAGTGAAGTCCTCTGGATGGACGATGGTCACGTTGTGAAAAAGGAACATCTGAGCAGGGAAAGGAACCAAGATTAGAAAGGAATGGAGAAAACATCCATGGCTACTACAAAAGATTCAGCAATAACTTTCCATTCCCCATAAATGCTGTCTCACGAAATATAGCAAGATGTGTGTTCCGGCTATAGTGCTATTTAGACATGCAGATAGTTTGTATTTATTTTGTATGTGAGATATTTGTTCCTAGGATCCATTAGGATTGTCAGGCGTCTGTTGGCTTTTCTCCTTTTACCTCAAAGGGAATAAACTGCTGGCCATGCTTCTTGTAATGATGGAAAAAGTGACCAAAATCACTATTAGATAACAAAACATTAAAGTATCCTATCGGTTATTCAATACCTGTTACCGGAATAAATTGGTTGTTGGATTTTGGTCTCTATCTGAATAGTAAACAGATTAAATAACGGGCAGATGGGCATTTATGGTCAAAAGACACGTATTCACTTCCTGGACAGGACTGTTTTCACATTTCTTTGTGCAAATAAAGAGCTCCTTACAATGCTCCTCTCGCCTGCTCAACCTCCCCCATGGTATTACATACATGTCCATGTTGACAACAGACTGCAGTAGCTAGACCAGCAGAAGACAACAAATTAAAACACAAATAGAGATTTACACTCTGCAGCTCCATTTACATTTATTCTACACTTCATTTGTACAACTGAAGAAGAGCATTAGCTGGAAAATCCACGTGTATATGTGCTTTTAAATTAATGAATTAATTAAATGCACTTAAGGTAGCTACAGTCTGCAGATCTTTATTTATGATTTTCATGACAAAACATTTTGGCGACGAACTCTTCCTGCCAATGGGCTCATTTTCCGTCCAGTTTTGCAATTTGAAAAATCGACACATTTTTGTCTACGTTGATATTGATAATAGTGTGTAAGTGTGTTGTTGGAGTGGCTTCGGAGGGAGACATGAAGAGACTTTCTCACAGTGTTTGCTATCTTTGCTCCAAAATGGTGGAACGAGCTCCGTGTAGATAACAGGGCTGCTGAAAGTTTACACATCTTCCTTTGCAGACTGAAAACCGACCTGTTGCTCACTCACCTTGGCCATTAAGAAGAAGAAAATCAAAATGTAGCACTCAAAAGATTTGCTCCTTTGAATGCACCAGCACTTACACTGGCTTATTTGAAAGCAAAGGTTCCTGCCTGTTTCCTGCTGTTTGCAACTACATGGTTTATTGCACTTATTGTAAATTGCTCTGGATAAAAGTGCCTGCTAAATTAAATCGAAAAAACCACACAATGTTGTCCACTCAGAGAGTCCTCACGAGTTTTGGAGACATATTAAGCAAGTGCTGCTAGCTACTTTAATTGGGAAGGAGTTTAATTGGATGTTTTGGCTGTATCTTTTCAAATCTCTCTTACTTTTCCTGGCTTATCCAATGTTTCCTACCCAAGCTTTAATGAGAACATGTTTACAGCCTCTTTTAAAGAACGGTGCAGACCCCTGGCCTCAGCTGGCCTTACCTGAGGGACAGACAGCACGACACTCATGCCCCACGCCACCATCAGCATGACTCTGTTCCTCTTCCCGGCTTTACTGATAGCCAGAGGGTTGAGGATGGCTGACTGTCTATCCAGACTGATCACCACGGTGACAAAGGCGCAGGAGTACATCGCCTGCAGCTTAAGGAACATCAGCAGCCTGCAGGCAAAGTCTCCAGCCAGCCACTGGACTGTGATGTTCCACACGGCGTCCAGCGGCATCAAGATGAAGGTCACCAGCAGATCAGCCACCGTCAGATTGATTATCAACACCCTGACGTGGGATTTGCGCTTCCCGTCGCTGTGCACTGCCCACAGCAAGGCCAGGTTGCAAAAGATGGATATGCCACAGAGAATGCAGGTGATGACCACTCTGACTTTAGCTGCTGTTGTGAAGGTGGGCAGCTGCAAAGCATCGTCCCCCGTTGTCCAGTTAGAAGAGGGCAGGGAGCCATTGCAGCTAGAGTTCAGTTGGTTGTCTGTTGTCAGATGAAACATGGTCGATACTGAGTCACACAGAGGGGCGTTCATTTTCTGAGGCGCACAGAGAAAGCCACATTCTGCTCATCAACCATGAAGTTCAGTGCTGGTAACGAGAGTGGGGCGAAAAGAAAGAGGCAAACAACAAGATGTGTGAGTCATGGGCCTTGAAGTGGGCGAAGGTTATCCAAATAAATCTGTGCTGAAACACAAAAATGCAATGAATGAATAGTACATCTCATCAAGAGGAAGTAATATGCGTATATGGAAGTATCTGTTTGCCACATTGCAAATCAGTGAAGTAGAATCTAAATGATGAATACAGTCCATTTATCCAATATAAACGTCTTCACAACTCCTTGACTTCCTAGTGCATATCGTGTTAATATGCAAATAGAATTTACAAATGGCTTGTGCTTTTCTGAA